AACAAGCAGGGTGGGAGTGCCTGGGCTGAAGCTGGAATGGGACAATGAACTGCAAGGTGCAAATGGAGCAGAACTGATCCCAGGGAGAGAGCCCGGGAGCGCTCGTGCATTTTGGGGCCATTTTGGTTCATCTTGGGTGCAGCCCTGGCTGGGCTCTGGTGCTGCCCAAGGTGCATCCATGGAGGAGATTCTTTGGATAAATCCCTGCTTTATTCTATAATTTCATCTAGTCCCTGTTCTAGGGCAGCCTGCACAAGGCATCACCTCACTGCTCTGCTCCCATGAGTTTCCATGAGGTGCAGTGGATCCCATGGTGTCCAGCTCTGGTTGGACACTGCTCTGTTCCCATGAGCTTCCATGAGCTGGGATCCTTGTCCATCCTTGGATTCCTTGAGCTGGAGTCCTTGGAGCTGGGATCTCCTTGATGGGCAGTTCCCAGAGCTGTGTTTTGATGCCAAAGGTGGTGGCACAACCAAAGCCTCTGGATGGGATCCCTGCCCTCCACGGGATGCTGTGGACCAGAGCTGGAGCTGGGCAGGGACCACAGCAGCTCCACAGGGAACAGAGGGCAAGTGAGAGGGGTGGGAGGAAGCTGCACCTGTTCAACCCCTCCCAAAAAAATATCTCCATGATACCTTGTGAAGGCTGACCTAGAACAGAGACTAGACAGAGTTAAAGTAGGGATTTATAAGAAGGCCTTGGGCTAAATCCAATAGATTTAGATTTTGAATCTAAAAATTCATAATTTTGACATTATCTCCATCACAAATGCTTTGCAGCTGTAGCTCTTAGTTTTCCACTCTTTTACTCTCCTATCTTTCTACTGTCCCTCTTCTTCCTCTCTTGATCCCACCCAGTCCCCAAAACAAAAGGTTGTTGTGTCTTGCTCACACCTGTCCAGGTGGGAAAAAAGGAATCCAAGAATTGCCATTCTTCCTCCTGATTTTCTTCTCCTCCATGCCATGGAGTCTTCCATGAAATCAGAACTGGTGTCCCACACCCAGAAGTGCAAAATAGAAGAAAAGGATCCATTGGATGCTGTGGAAATTGGGGGTTGCAGCACAGGGTAAGAACCAGGATTCCCATTTCCAAGGCAAAGCGGGAATTTCAGGGGACACCTGCTTTGTTCTGACGTGAAGTGTGAGCAAAGCCAAGGAATTCCAGATTTTCAGCCTCTCCATCAAAATCAACGCGAAGGAAACTGAATCAGGAACTTTGGGAATTGCAGGAACTGCAGCCAGGGTTTGTGTTCACACCTACACCTGCGGTTCATGAGCCCTGTGGGATGGGTTTCGTGCAGATTGGAAAACCAGGAATGATATAAAGCCCTCATCACACTTCTTCTGACTCATGGATATCAACACATCCATGCTGGGTGAGGGGCCAGGGAATGGGATTCTCCACTTCTGGTGTGCTTTTCATGGCATCTCCACTGCAGGCCGTGTGGGGAGGAAGGGATTGTAAGATTTAATGGAAAACTCATGGATTGGGATGAGGAAAGGAGAGGTGTGAGGTGTCTCCTGCTCCAGAGGCACTCCCGGCCTCTCTGGGATCCAGGCAGCACTCACAGCTCTTTGGAAGGTTATGGATGAAGGAATGTGAGAGCATCCACGCGCTCAAATAAAGTCCAAATGAGACAAGAGTTGGACTTGCATGATCCTTGTGGGTCCCTTCCAGCTCCAGATATTCCATGATTTCAAGATTAAAACAATGAGAGGTGTGGGAGTCCCGCTAAAAGTCTCTGATTTATTGCCTAAGAAGGTTAAGAATGATTTTCACCACAAGGTTCCAACTTCAGGGGTCAGAAGAAGTCCAGGGATCTTTTTTCTTGTGTGAAATTTTCCACTAATTTTGAGGAGGGGCTGACCTGAGCCTGAGGTCACCCAAAATATTTCTCTTTCTTTCAGTCTCCTCTTGTGTGCGTGTCACTGCTTGGAAAAGGTTTGTGCAGGACCTCATCCATGCAATGATCTCGTGATATCCTGGGATCACCTGGGGGAGGCCGGGTTGGTGCCTTGAGAAGGCTGACCTAGAACAGAGACTGGACAGAGCTAAAGAATA